AAGGAGCGGGGTTAAAGGACACACGTTTCCAAAGTCTGTGTGGCTCGTTGAAAAGAGGCCCCTAGTAAAGTGAGAAGGACTTCGAAAAGGATTTGGCAAGGGGAGAAAGGCTTTGAAAAGGACCCCTGGATAAACAGACAGGAGGGATTGGTAGGTAGCTTGACAGACAGCTGGATGGTGATCGAACGTTGCTAAATGGCAAGCAAGGGCCCTACATGTATACATGGCTACATAGACATATAGATTGATAGACCAGAGATAGGTAGACCTATGGAGAGAAATATAGGTCCATAGACAGATAGATAAGTAGATCGATGGGGCAGGAACAAGTACCAGGGATATGCAGATAGTTCTATTCAGATTGTTTTGTAGATAGGTAGATGGCTTGGCAAACGGATAGCTCGCAGGCAGGAAGGCGGATTAGACCAGATAAGATAAATAGATAAGCTAGGTTTGACTAGGCTTAGATGGTAGACAGATGGACGGATTCATAAATTAGATTAGGAAAGATGGATAGATAGATTGGATAGATCAGCTTAGGTTAGGGTTAGATTGGATAGATACATCGATCGATGGAATTAGGAGATTGGTAGATCAGGCGATGAGAGCAGGAAGAGACAGATCGATAGCTAGGTATGTAGGTAAGTCGTGAAGTAGGTGGATTTGTAGATAGAGAGAGATAGACAGATTGATAGATGAAGATGAGAAAGACCGAACAGAAAGATAGGGTAGATAGACAGAGCCAGTGCTGCTCCAGCAAACGGTTTCGGGGCGCTTTCTCGTATACGCTGGTGGAGACCTTACGGTCACCGCGCAGCCACGCTGGAGCTGAAAGGTTGAGAGCTCTGAGCTGGGCCGAAAAGGAGGTTTGCAACTGGCCGTGGTCCTTTGGTTTTCCTAAAACCTCTGTCAAGTCACCCCTATGGGCAGGGCAAATGATTGCAACCTCTGTCGGTTGCAAACCCAAGTAAGTTGTGTCTTTTTTTAGGGGGACCTCCAATCAGAATGGTTTTCCTCTTCGTTTCCCTTGAGACCAACCCTAAAAAAGGGTCCAGCAAAGAAAACAGAAACAGTTCTTCATCTCTGGGTAGCGCTCGTATTGAGGTCTTCGGGCGACGCATTGTGGACTTCTTGGCACGAAACGTTGGAGACCTGAAGAAGAACGGCGCCTGGGTTTGCATGTTTGGGGTCTTTTTGCTTGCTTGTATGTTTGATTTGGTGATTTGTTCCTTGTGGGTTGGTTTAATGCTTTGCTTGCCTGCCTGCCTGCCTGCTTGTTTGTTTGTTTGTTTGTTTGTTCGTTTGTTTCGCATTTCTTTTGTCCTGTCTGGTTTTGTGTGTGTTTGTCAGTTGGCGGGTTGGTGTGCGCGGTTGTTTGTCGAATGGTGTGTGGGTGTTTGTGTGTGTGTGTGTGTGTGTTGGTGTCCGTGTTTGTTTAGTCGGTTTGTTTTTTTTGTTTGTGTCTTTGTTGTAGTGATTATTTGATTACTGCATCTTTGTGTCTTTGTTTCTGTTGTTTATTCATTGTTGTGGTTGTTTTTGTTTCTGCTTCCGTAGTTGGTTATCTTTGTGATTTGTTGTTTGTTGTCTGTGCGTGCGTGTGTTTTGAAATATGTTTGGTTTGCTCGTGGTTTAAACGTTTGTTTGTTTTTCTGGCTATGTGTCTGTTTGTTTTGTTCGGTTTGGTTTGGTTTGCTTGTTTGTTTGTTGGTTAGTCGGTCAGTTGGCTGCTTGGTTGCTTGGTTGGTAGGTTGCTTGGTTGGCCGTCGATCGATCTTTTGTTGCGCCTCTGTGTTTGTTTGCAGCTGTGTTTTTGTGCTTCATTGTTTGGTGAGCTTCATCTATAATTAGAAGTGTTGAACAGGGAGGTGTGGTCAAGCAACCCCAGTCGCAGAGAGGATTTGCCCTGGAGTTTGCTTGAAAGGTGTGAGAGGATCACGATATATAAATTGCTGGCCCCTGAGTTTGCCCCATGACCTGGCTGCTGGGGTTGAATACTGTTGGACCTCTGGAAAAATTAGCAAAGGGGGAAACGGAAACCAGACATTTGCGCATTTTGAAGGTCCTCATTTTGGACGCATGGGCATATGTGATGCCATTTGGGGACTTGAGGTTGTTTTTGTCCCCCACTATCCTTTCATGCACAGATTTGCTGTTCCACAGCTTCATGTTGTGGAGAAGATGTCAAGGGCGGATGCTTCACGTGCTGCTTACAGCAAGTGTACGATTCACCATTCAGGGCGCTCAGGCAATTGATTCATTAAGGCGTCCTGAATGGCATTGCCCGGAGAGCAATCATCATGAGCACCCCCACGACAGGGGAACTTTGCAAGGAATCTGTCAGTGTTCGGCTTTCAGCTGCTCTAATGCCACAGCCAGCCTAGGCGAGGCCCCTTGTTTGAAGCTTCTGAATTCGAACTCGGTTTTGGCGCAATCAAAGGCTAGATGGGTAAAGCATGAGCTCCTTCAGAGTTGCCACGGTTGCATAGGTTTGAAACCCCGAAACCCTTGTAGGTCAACACCATTGATTTAAAACCGTCGTTCCTTGCCCGGCTAGAGATTTGGCGCAGGCGCCGCAGACGTTCAGCTGGGATTTTGGCTGGCGCCCTTGGAAGGCATCGAGTGGGTGGATATGAAGGACGGCCAGTTCCACGACTATCCCATGCCAGGCACTTGCTTCTTGCGGCAAGCGCGTGCAGAACGCAGCTTACGTAGGGCCGAGGCGGAGTGTTCCAGGGTGTTCTGGAAAAGAAAGGAACACTGTTTGTGTGTTCAATCGCACGGAGACGAACATCTTGTGTGAGTCGGGCATCAACGTCGGATGCAGAGCTTGCCCATGTTTGAACTAGCAGAACGAACGGCATCGCCTCAGCTTTAGGCATCCAGTCTTGATGAATGCCAACGTCGAAAGAAACAGAGCAGGAAGCCTACGCCTGTCCCAAATCTTCCGAAGGAGCCCTTGAGGAATCCTAAGCTTTTCCAGGGCATTGCAACTTGCGCACCACCTTGGACACAAATGTGGGCACCCTCTTTGAAGAGTTGAAGCAGGAAAGCCTGGAGCTTCAGCGTGTTGCCGTATTAAAACCCGGAGTTTGGATTTCACAGTGGTTTCCAGTGATTCCCCTCACCAGTGAGACAATCAACTGAAGCGGCCAAGTGAGTGGCGACTTTTCCAGCCACTCACTTGACTAGTAACGAACTTTTTGGTTCCCCCTTCGGTGACTTGACCATCTTGGAAACAATTGGCCGAATCAGGGTTTGCCTTTTGACCCGTCATGGGACACTGAAGCCTCTAAGTGGTTTCTGCAAGTTCCGAACTTGACTTCACTTATGACTCTATGACCTTTTCCAAGCATAGCGGGTACCTGTCATTTTCTCAAGACAGGAAGTTCCTGTGATTTCTTCCAAAATCTTACAGCAATAGCATGGCGAGGCAGCACCTTCAGCAATGGCTGCACTGAGAGAAGCATCCTGGTGCATCGGATGAACGAGGAGCAGTGGGTTCGGTTCCACCACGGGCGGTCTCCGAAATCGGTTTCCCATTGAACATACAAAGACCTCAGAAGGGGCAAACTCATGTTTCTCCATTGAAAGTTACTTGACTAGGCCACTGAGCCAGGGCTTTCCTCTTGTGGATTGGACGATGGATTTGCGCATTGTGGTTTGCTCATTTTGAGTGGTGTTCTCATGATTACCCGGACGGAAGCAGGGCTTGGTTTGGGGGCTTACCACCAGCTTGCGTTATTCTGCTTTGGCTGATTTTAGATTGTGGTTGTTCGGGATTTCTTTACGAAACACGACTATGAATCGGCATGCTTGCAATACATCATACTTCTTGCTGGCCCTTCTGTTGGTGCTGGCACTTGGGGCAACGACCTTCTGTGTGTAACCATTCTTTGTGTTGCTCCTCCAATTGCGTGCGGCTTTCCAATGTGCCATGTGGGTCAAGTGGCTGTCGAAAGTCTAGATGGGTGTGTTTCTGAATGCTACCCTTTCAGCTGAACGAAAGGACTCATGAGACACGCTTTCCAAGAGCCGCCGAAGCTGAAGCCGAGACCATGCGACCTGCGACATAGTCCGACTGGAGTGCGGCTGTAGCTGTCGGGCGTCGGGTTTTCAAGGCGGTTCAGCATGCTGGTTGGAAGGCCCTGCATGGCCGGCTCACCGGCGATCGGAACATGCCGGAAGCGTAAAGTTCAGCCGTTTGGGATAGTTTGGCTTTGGCTGTAGAGAGAAGTGCAGAGAAAGCCCATGTCGACTTTTCAGCAGGAAAGTGTTTTGTGCTAGCACTATCTGCTTGAAACCTGAGGGGGAATACGAACACGTTTGTCTCAATTTGCAGCCCTGTCAGGAGCGCTGGAAGGACTTTGACCCTGGCACCTGCGAGTTGAGATGTCCACTGAGGGCAGGGAAGTGACCTCACGACTGTCATCTCCGAGGATTCTGCCATCTGTCCCCCGCAGCTCGGCGCGACGATCAAGGGACCATAGCCCGTGGCCGGCTGGCAAGCCCGTGCTCGAGGGGCACGAGGTCGAGACGTTGCACACACGCCGCCCGCGCCCACACAGCTCTGCGGACAGGGCAGCGTAGAGTAAGAGGGATGCCGAGCCGCGCGGAAATGAGCTTGCCGGAGTCTCCACAAGCCTTTGAATGGCGTCATGAGCCCTAAATTGTTGCTTGTGGATGAGACACAGTGGCTTCTGTTTCTTTAGTATAGCAGGTAGTTCTGTATGGGGACCGACCAGCATATTGTTGTTGCTAAATTGCAAGCTGTGGAGCAGAACCGAGGTGTATCGTGTTCCACGCCAAAAGTATTGCCACCTCAATTTGAGTGAACTATTTGGACAAGTGTTTGGCTATCAGGTGACGTTTCAGATTCTCCCAGAAGGATATGTGTCAACATAGGGGGAAACCTAAAAAGTGGGTGATGTTCGCAAAGGGTACCCTCGCAAGGACACGCCCAGATACCGCTTGGCAGCTTGGACGCTTCTCCGGCGCAGGTGGGTGGTCACCTGGACGAGCAGCGCCCACAGCAAGGATTGTGATGGTTTCTGAGCGGCATCCTCTCAGAGTCTCAACTGGAACTGGTGCGACATGAATCGACGTTGTCCACAGACCGTGTTCAGCTCCCAGGGTTGCAAGGCGATGCCGGGTGAATCTCTTGTGCTTCTTTCAGCTTTGCTGAATGGCCAGCATGAAATGACTCTTGGTTGGTTGGGCAATTTTGTAGCCAAGTGGCCTAAAATGTTCTTGTGGCCCCCATCTGACAACAGACCCAAATTTGATGGCCCTCGAATATCATACATTGACCCATGGTGAGTCCAGGCATTTGGGGAAATAGGCATCAAGCCTGCGGGTGAGGTTTCTCATATCAGCTCAAATCTTTGGGACTGCCTTTGTCAGCAGTAAAAGATCATTGTTGGCATGAGGAATGGACCACATTCCCACCAGTCCAATGCCTTCAGAGAGATACCTCCTTGCAACTCAGAGGAAAATATTTCAAATGCTAGAGAGCATCGGGCTTCCCACCCATGTTCCTTCCATTTCGCAACATTGACCGCCAAACCACTACAGGGCAAAAAGGAGACTGCTGCCGCTGCCCTATCCTTTCTTCACCCATTTGCCAGATGCTTTCATGCCATCCCCCCCACCCCCCGCGTTCTCATAGCCTCCGACACATCTTCAGCCTGGGACTCTTCGAAACATCCACATCCCCTCCAGTTCCAAGCCACAGCCTCTGGCTTCCTCAGGCGACGCCGGGGCAAGGTGAAGTCGCTGGCGCAGCAGCGGGGACAAGAGCTGCGGGAAGCCATTGCGCAGCGGGAGGCGCGTCCGGGCGGATGGACAACCCTCTCTGAAGTGGAGGAGGGCACCCGTTATCGAGGTACACTCAGCCAAGGTGAAGTATCCGAGGATTGCCTTGAAACACGAAGCCATCAACAACAACGTGGGGGTGATGTGACAAGTGCAAGATTGAACAACAGCAAGAGCCGTGCAGCTTGTGGTTGAACCATCAATGTTGAAAGCCTGACAAACAGTGCTGGCAGCTGGCATCGCTGTCAACTCGGAGCTGTCAACATGGACGCCCTTTCTAACTGGGAGTCAACCCTTAAACTAGACGCTCGCCTCGTAAGCCACCCCCTTTAGAGAGTGTCAAGTGCAAATCTGATGGCTCTGCCTCCTAGAGTCAAGCATTAAGAAACTTCTGCAATCATGGGTTTGGGTAGACACAAACCCAGAAACATCCACGGTACACCACATTTCCTATGTGGCAACTGTGGCATGCATTTTCTGCCCAAATTGCTAGCTTCCCGATGCAGCGTGGCGTGAACACTGTGTCGGAGTGATTTGTTGGAGCTTTTACTTGGGGTCCCCAAACGCCGGTTCCGATCGCGATTGGCCTCAAGGCCTAAGGCGCATCTTCCCTTGAGAAAAAGGACCATGTAACCCTAACTTGCAAGCTGCTGTTTGGTTCTCAGGGAATGAGGGAATGACCCCAACCATCCCTATGGCTTCCTTTAGGGGAATCCCCTTCCGGTTCATTCCCTAGGTCATTTCCCGGGCACCAGCAAGTTCCGAGGCCCAAAAGTCGTGGCCTTTTTGTTGCCACGTCCTTTGGGCAAGTTGGAGCTTGTAAGCCAAACTCCGTGCCTCGCGAGAGGCAATGTATATTCTGAGAGAATGATTGGTAAAGAGATTGCAGTGCAGAGCTGGCCAGGGTCCAACAAATCATGAAGCAGGCTGCTGATTCGTTTTGATAGTGCAGGATCTTACCATGATTGTCATCAGTTTACCACGGCTGGTGCTGATTTTTAGGAATATATCCCCAAATGGTTGGCCCATGAGCCAAAGAGTATGCAGTCCCTGCTGTGGATGGACATGATGGACGAACTCCTGCACCACCTGAGAAATTCTGGAATGATGATTCTCCTGTAAATACCAACAAATGGTTTCCCACGGTGTCAAAGTGGTGCGAAATGGCGTTCGTCCATCCCCAGTAGCTCTTGCAGCCACGTCCTCTCCTATTCGGCATCCGACGTATGCCAGGCACGGCTGAAGGGCTGCAGGAGGCAGCGCTTCTTGTTGGGCTTTCTGAAGAAGCGCCACGCTGCCGCTTGGGGCCCTGGCGGCCCTGGGGGCCCTGGAGACCCTGGGGGCCCGGCATTTGACATGCGGCCATGGTGTGTGCCATGGTGCGGTGGCTGGTGGCTTGTTGTGGAGGGTGCGGGTCATCACATGAGCGACTAACTTTATTTACGTTAATGGAAACATGCAAGGGGCTGGAACTATTTTTGGGGAAATGTGCATATTTAGCCGCAGAACGAGTTGGGGAACACCCCGAAAACGAGATAGGGCAAACAAGCATGATAACATGGATTAGGATAGCATTTTGGCAAGTGCAGCCTGGCAGAGCGTCTTGGGTTCAAGGTTGTTAGAGCGTCCAAGTGAGTATTGGCCCAGTTCCTCCTCTCAAGTATTACTTTTCAATAAATTGTGTAGCAGCAGTTTGCTTAGCGAAAGGTTGTGCGGCAACAACGAAGGAGACAATGGAGGCGGCAAGCTAACCAAAGCTCGTTTACTTCTTTAAGCTCCTCTTCTTCAAGCTCCACAGAAAGTTGAGCCAGATAAAACGAGCGCGGTGTTGGAAAACGAGTCAGGAACACCCGTCCATTATGCCATTTATCAAATAAAAGCCGTTGCTCACATGGATAGGGATTAGGGTTTTGAGCGAGTTTCAGGGTGCAAGGGACCTGTGATGATCATGGTTGTGTCAGCTTTGTGCTGTCATATCCAGTACAGTTTGTGTAAGCGGTTTTTGATGCTTGGTGAGTTGTATTCCGCATCCAATGTTGCATGAGGAAATCTACCAGTTGGGTACCGTATTGACGGAATCACCAGTCATGTGTCCTTTTGTTTTTTTACTTGGCGGCTTTCCATGTGGCAGGGCAAGTCAGCAACGAGAGAGCGCTTCCAAGGCCTACGCTCTTCGTGATTTCTGCACGCGCCTGGACGAGTGCACACCTTAGATTGGGCGGGTTGAGAAAGTCATTTCAGAAATGCGTGTGTCTATTTGAGCGAACCCCTTTGTGAAGGAAACTGCATGGCAAGCATCCCTTTTTTCAAGGGCTCCTGGAGGCAAACCATCGCAAACTGATGTTTCTTCTTGGGCCATGTGCATGTTGAAACTTGCACCGTCACCCCAAAAACAGTTCCCAACCACTTGGCATTCGATTGGTTGGTCCAATAGGTGCAGCGGTGACTCGGATCGGGTCCCCCAGTACTCTTTTTTTGGGGAGTTCCCCTACTAAAATAGACTACAGAAAAAAGGGTACCCTTATTGTAACCGCTGGCTATTGTTGATGGCTGGCTTTTTGTTGGCCTGAATGGTGTTCCCAGAATGGGGCGCCCCCAATCAACCAGAGGTGTTATGAGGTGGGCTGCCAGGACATGCCATGCAAAACGACGGACACTCCAGCGCCTCGATGCGCACAGTACAGCGCGTGTACGGCACGGGTTGTTGATGCAGGTCTAAGCTGTGTGTTTGCAACCTCATAATGTTTGGCAGTCTAAATCCTGACAACAACAGGATCCTGAAAAGGACCTCGCATGTAAGCAAAACAGAAGCAACATAGATGAACAAAACAGGATTGGTAAGCAAGACGTTTTTGGGGCACTTGCTCCATGGCCATCCTGCAGACCTGGATCCTATTTCTGCTGTTCCTCAAGCACATGGGACATGCAGTGTTTGGTCAAGGTGCCAGCTGAGAAAGCTTCTGCCAGGTTACTTCATACTTTTTTTGGCTTGAACCTGCGGCTTGAGCAAGCTGTGCTCTGAACTTCTATTGCTACTCTTTGAGCAGAGGGATGTGCGGCTCGTGTTCGACCTGCATGCCAGGTACTGCGCCAAAGTGGCAGCAGCACCAAAGTGGTGGGAGCAACAAGCCAAGGAGCCAAATGTAAGTCGAAATACCTGCTTCTCTTTCGGATCCTTTTAGGGGTCATTCGGTGGGTGTAGCGAACCGTGGCCCACAAATGATTTGAATGCCTCACTGCCACCAATGGACCTGTGACCAACATGGGCAAGTGCAGGCCAAAGGCGCAAATTACCAGAAGAACTTCTTGCGGCATAGTTTTGTTGTTTGATTTATTGTTAGTTGTTTGTTTTTTGTTCCCGTTCTGTCAGTTTTTAAGGGGGCTGCACAAAGCAGTCATTTGTTTTTTGCTCCGACGCTTAGGGTTGGAAAGAAACCCATAGCTTGTGTCGTGGTTCCTGTGCGCTTCGAGTTGTTCGACTCAAGTACTTCACGACTAGTGAGGTGCGCCACGGGCTTTGCGTACCGTGCGAAGACAAAATGATTGCTACCATTTGCTACCGACCAGATGGTGCGCAAACCGTGTTTGCCATTGCGTACACCTCACGGCACACACACACACACGCACAGGCAAACCAAAGCTGATTGTGAGAAACTTTAAGCGCCTTCCCTGTTTCATTTACCAGCCTGTTTTTTTTGCGCATTCACCTTGTTTTGAAATATTGGGGTCCATGGTGAAACCTGCAGACGACAGCGAATCTATTATATATCAGGTTTTGGAAATATATTGTAAACATTGCAGATTGGTCAGTACTGTTTGGCGAACCTGTGGATGGTTGGGAAATCCAAAACCAGAAATCAGGGTCGCCAGAATCTGCAATGCCGATCTCTGTGCAGATTTCGGCCTCGAGTTGAGCTTGAGGAGTCCAAGGAAGCGGTGCTCGCCTCGGCCCGGGTCTTTCTCTGCACCATCGCCTCCTCCAGCCGCCGGGGCCCAGTGTGGCCCCCCGAAAGGAGCGTTTTTTTGCCTCAAACGCTCCAGTGTTCCAAACACGGATGGAAGAAGTTGGTCAAGTTGTTGCCCTGCAAGTTGCCGCGCGAAAGGAAAGCACTGCGCGATAGGGATGCGAGGAATCACGTTCGCGAAAGGGGCTGCAAAAGGCCGATTTGAACGACAGCTCCGGGAAAGGGTTTCTCGGCCCAATGTGCTCCGCGTAAGGAACACTGTGGAGTGCGCAAGATTCGCGAAAGGTCGCGAAAGAAAGCGTTCGGCAATCGTGGAACTCAGGTTTACACCACCGCTCGGGTATAGTAGTTTAACTTGTTTTTTCCGATTGACGATGCAGCCGTTTTTCGGGCAGCTTTAGAATTGGAAGGACTAATAGGAGGAAACGCGCTGTGTGTGTGAGTGCCGTATGGCCTTCTCTCATGATGCCAACCTGAGCAGATGAATGCTTCTTGTTGAGGTTAGACATACAAAAATCACTGAACCACAAAGTACTAAAAAAGCGGTCAACGCCTCTCGTCGAGGGTAAATACTTGTAAGACTAATGTGGGCGTGTGTCAAGATTCGCCAAAGAGGTTGGGTTTGTGGCCAGATGCATGTCTTGATGGAACCCTGGCCAGCCCTCAGCGCTATGAGAGTGTGCTTTTGTTTTCTTGGCTGTCCAAGCACCAGATTAAGCAGAACCCTGGTTGATTATTTGGGGGGTGTCCCCTTTAGTGGGCGGAACATCCCCTATTAGTAGGACGGTTTATTGTAAACGCTGCACGCTGCCCGCCTCGGCCCAGCCGAGCGGGGGGGTTGGGCTGGGTCAGACAGGATCTTAGGGCCAGCAGACATGGGTCAGGGTGGGGGGGGTGGGCCGCAGAAATTTTGGGTGGGCATAGACTCGGCATAGACTGCTTGGTCAACTACTGAGTGGCTTGAACATCCGGGTATGCAGTGGTTTCTCCGAGGCATGCTGAGAGAATGGGAGGAGGCTGGCGCACTGCATCCGTCTCGCTAGGGAGCAGAAGTTTTCAACAGCGCAACAGAGAAGCCAATGTCTGCGGCATTCGTGGCCGGTAGACATGAACCCCACTACCCGATGGTCCCGCGGGACATACATCGTACACATTAAACCTCTAGAAGAAGTAAACAAAATCAACACAGAACACATAGCCCCCATGCCAACAGCATCCATTCTGTGCATTCTCTTTGGAACCAGCCTATTGGAGCTTCACTTTTGTTTTCCGTTCTGTCGGATGGAGGACTCGGAGACTCGAAGATCCTGGGTCAGGGTTCCCTACCACTCCCTTTTTGAATATTTTAGGCCCCCCCTTTTGCACCGTTTCCTTGCGAGTGATGTTTGTAGGGAGCCGGTTTTCGCCAGGCCATGGGAAGTGAGCTGCGGGTGCACACAGTGATCGTGGACGAGTGTGGGGCGCCCAGAAGTTACACGGATTCGCTGATCAATATCGTCAGACCCGTTGAACGGGTTCTAATTAACGGGCTCTGATTGCCATCATGTGTCGTTTTGGGATCCGGAGTTTCACCCAAGGTTGGATAGCTTCCCCGGACCTAAAGTTGAGTGTCCATGAGAGGCACTGTGCTGGTCCAAAGAATTTGGGAGACCTCATGAAGAGTGTTTCTCATATTGGATTTGGTCCGCAAAACAAGACTCCTAGCAGAAGCTCTTTGGTTGTAGCTTGAGAACACAAACTAAAACAAGAAGGATCATCATTGAATTTAGAATGTAAAACAAATAATGAAAAATTGATTGCCTATATTCAGAGTCTTAGGCTTATCGTGTTTTTGTATGTTGCAAGTGGCTTGCTGCAAATGGTATTGGCACGTGGCATGTGACCAGCCGAGCGGTGTTGGGTCACAGCAAGAAAAGCTGGGGTTAAATTTGGGTTGGCTGACGTGTGTGAAGGACGCATGCCATTCACGTGCTTGGCAGGTGGATGTACGCCAGAGTCTTCCACTGCATTGCTGCGTCTCGGAAGAGGTTAAGCCCTTCGGCGGCCCAGTCCCGACGCGAAGTCGGTCAATGGACCCACCCCAAATGGGTGGCTTCGTTTTGGTTTGCCCCTGAAGCACACAAAACCCACCCCAAGAAGACAGGTACCAACAAAACAACGACGCGTACAGGGCCTTCTGCGCCTTCTTTTGTTTGGCAAGTGGAACCTTTCCATATGGAAGTGCGGAGTGTGTCTCAAAAGATTGGCATTGGTCCGAAATCATCCCAGGGTCCCGGGACCTGTTGGCACAGTTCAACTTGGCCGCCTGCAGCTGGAATTCCCCACCCGCACTGTCCACAAGTGAGCTGTTGTTGCCGAGGTTGCGCATTCGGCCCAGCAACTTGGTGCGGCTCCCGGCTCAAAAAGGCCTTGTGTGGTCACATTCTGTCTAAATTTGGTGATCTCACGAATGGGGGCTGCTGCCTGACTTATGATGAAGGTTGCCGTCTTCGGGGCCCTTTCTTCATGTTAGCTATCGCTTCAGCTAGTCAATGACCTATTTAGTGCAGATTTGTGCAATGATTTCTGCCATGCGACACCCTAGTGAAGCCGGAAGGGTTCTCTCCAGCGAAGGTACTGGTCGGTGACCACAAGCAGCTTCCTCCCACGTGGTGCCGGCATGACTTGTCAGAGACGGCACGGCTTTCAGATGGCATCTTTGCTCTTTGGTTTCCCCACAAATGGTTGCTAACTGAGCAACCCTGTGCAACGCAGGGAGCAACACATTCCAAAAGCATAATTCAGCATTGAGGCTTGCCTCGAACATTCCGAAATATTGTTTCTTAAGCTGGAGGGGGTATGTTTTCTGTCAATTAGCACTAAGCTTGGACGCTGTGAAGAGTTGGCCGATTGTACACTAGCATGAATGCATGAACAACTGAAGCCGTGGAAAACAGGTCAAGCGGCCCTTCATACGGTTTCGCATGGTAGCGGAGCCATGGCATGAGGTCTCGCTACAATCGTGAGATCTATCAAGATCGAGCTGATCACGCTGGGTGCATTTTGCTTGGGCGCGTGACTGGTGTCAACTGGACTTTTTACGTCTGGACTGGTGTGCTGGTGGGTTTCATCGGATTCCTGATCGCTTTGTTTTCAGCTGACAGCATGGCGGATGGAACAGCAGCCACAGGCACACCGGAGTTGCAACAGATCGGCGAAGCTTTGAGACAATTGCTGGCCGAGCAGCAGTCACAGCGGACGCGCATGGATGATCTGAGTCAGGCAGTGCTGGGCACAGGTTCTGCAGTGCAGGTGACGCAGGCTGTGACAGAGCAAGTGGTTCAGCAGGTGATGACTCAGGTGCAACAGCAAAATCAGGAGCGGATCGGCCAGATCGCACAAGCTCATCAGCAGACGCAAGATCAGCTGACGCAGGTGGGAACCGCATTGCAATAGATGCAGGAACAGATGAGAAACATGGGCCAAGCAGTACAATCCAGGCAGCTTGTTTCAGCCTGGGTTGGGCGCCTCGGCATCAGCCGGAAGTGTGGGAGCCTCTCAAGGGGCTGGCACGCCTCCAGTGCCGCAGTCGCCACCCAGAGGGAATCCCGCAGGGCCACCAATTTACAATCTTGGTGGAGGTGGCAGTCCTGGACAGCCGAGTGCAGCAGTTGCATATGCCACACAGCAGGGCGGAGTGGATAGCAAGCCTTTGGGCAAACCTTGGAGTGGATCACGCAGGAGCAACCGAAGATTGCCGTGTCGATGGATGCAGTGCTGGTCCGGTTTCCACATGTGGACCCCCTGCTGATCAAGTGTGGTGACGCGCAGGTATATGCAATGTTAAGTACGTACACGGTTGGAGAAGCCAGGAGCATTGTGAGGCAGGCGAGAAGGCCGAATGGGTATGAGGCTTTCCGGTTGCTGAATGTGCGGTTCAACCCCAGCACGATGTGGCGGCAGAGAGCAGATCTGATGAAGATCACGAACCCGCAAGCAGGCATTTCTTTAGAGAAATTGGCAGCAGAGGTCGTGAGCTGGGAGAATCTGATCGTGCAGTATGAGAGTCGCCCAGGTGCTGAGCGAGTTTCGGATGCAATGCGGATGGCAGCTTTGGTGCGCATGGCGCCTCAGGCTTTGAAGCAGCACCTTCACATGAGTGCAGCTCGATACACAACGTACATGGAGCTCCGAGAGGAGATCATGAGCTACATTGAGCAGGTCACACCAGCTGCGCACACCACCATGGATGTGGGTTCGGTTGGTGTCGTGAAGGGAGGTGGATGCTTCATTTGTGGAGGACCGCATTTGCAGCGTGATTGCAAGAAGAGCAAAGGTAAAGGCAAGGACGGATCCAAAGGCAAAGCTGCAGGAGGCAAAGATGGCTTCAAAGGTAAGGGGAAGAGTCATGAGAAGGGAGGCAAAGGTGCCGTGAAAGGATCTGGAAAGAAAGGAGGAGGAAAGGAAGGCACCTGCTACAACTGTGGCAAGCCGGGACACACTCGAGATCAATGCTGGAGCAGGGTGAAAGCGCTCAATGCTTTGGAGCCGCAGGAGACTGATCCGCTTATGTCTCAGCTGCAGTCGTCATTTGCCAAGGCGGCAGCAGAGGAGTATGCCCGGAGGAGAGGAGAGAGCTCAAGCCCCCGCATCAACAGCAGCCACAGCAACAGCAATCAGGTTTCCCTTCATCCCCGGTGAGGTCATCAGCCCCGAGCTCTACAATGCCTCCAGCGAGCATGGGCAGTTTGGTGGTTAAGCAGCTTTGTGCTATTGAGTTGGAATCGCAGCAGGCAACAGCAGCAGGAAGAGGAGGAAGCCAGCAGCAGCCACACCAGTGAGGTGAGGAGAATGAGATGGCCCACAGTGCCGATCGGTTCAGATCGGGGAATGGAGATGTGCAAGATCGTGCAGATCACTGTGGACTCGGGTGCGGCAGCTTCAGTGGCGCCTCCAGACATTTTTGAGCATGAGGAGCAACTTGCACCGGACAACGGCCTGAGTTTCCTGAGCGCCAATGGTCAGGTGGTGCCCGAGTTGTATCGGGTGAAGCCTATCGTGATGACGGAGGAAGGCCACAAGAGGAGGACTGAGTCTTCGGTGGCGAACGTGCATAAGGTCCTGATGTCCGCAGGGCAAGTGGCAAACAGAGGACACAGAATCCATCTGGCGCCTCATTGGGAGAAGAGTTGGATCGAGGAGAGAGGATGGAGCTGGACGGAGTCTACGTTCAGGAGGTGATCGTGATGCCCACGGAGCCGATGGATTTTCCAGGGCCGGCGTTGTGGGTCGGAGATATGGAAGAGTGAATCCGACTCATGAGGAGGCTGTAAGCCCCTGTGGAATCCGCCGTCAGCGACCAGTTCCACCTGTGGCGTTTGCGGTAGAGGCGGAGGAATCCCACGAGGAGCAGCCCAAGGCGTATGGTGAGGAGGATGGACACTCGGATATGTATGAGCCGAGTGTCATGGATGAGAGAAGCAGAGGTGTGTTCGATTTGAACATGCCGGAAGTTGTGGACGACGAGCTCGAAGAAGGAGGCGTTCAGCAGTTGGCGCATGAGGAATTTGAAGAGCAGGGGCAACAGGTTTCGCAATCAGTGCCTGTGAGCCCCACACTGCAAGAGGTGAGAGATCACTCGGTGTGCCACATGCCGTATCGAAGCTGGTGTGCACACTGTGTCCGTGGTCGAGGTCGAGCCCGGCCGCATGCTCGAATTAGGGAGGCAGAGGATGAAAAGCTGAGGAGACGGCCGCGAGTGAGTATGGATTACTTCTATTTGGGCAAGAAGAAGGATGATGCTTTGCCCTTGCTGGCGATCGTGGATGAGAGTACGCAACGCTTATTAGTACAATGTGGCGGTCGTGACCAAGCTGATCAAGAGCTTGGGTTTGCAGAATGGCATACTCAAGACGGACACTGAGAATGCCACAGTAGCCTTGAGGAGCGAGGTGCAGGTTCGACCCCCTGACATTGGATTCGAGAATGCGGTGAAGGGTGAGAGCCAAACCAATGGCCCAGTGGAGAATGCTGTGGAACGCATTGAGGGCATGGTGAGGACTTTGAAGAGCGCACTTGATGCCCGCTATAAGGCACAGGTGCATCCCCGGCACCCGGTGTTGTGCTGGATGGTGGATTATGCTGGATCTCTGATTACGAGGTTCAACCGATGATCGGACGGTCGGACGCCATATCAGCGGTCGACTGGGAAGAAGTGGAATATCTCGCTGCCAGAATTCGGAGAGTGTGTGCTTTACAAACCTTTGAAAGGCGAGGAGAAGGGCAGCAAGATGGAGCCGCGATTTTATCCTGGCGTTTTCTTGGGATTGCAGGAAGCAACGGGACTTCGCTGGATTGGTACAGATGCTGGAGTTGTGAGGACTTGGGCTATAAGGCGGAAACCTGTTGAGGAGCAATGGGTGATGGAGGAGTGGGACAAGGTGATTGGCTTGCCTTGGCAACTGAAGCCGAGTGCAGCTCCAGATGGTACAAGAGGAGGCGCGGCAGCAGAGAAGGAGATTCGCATTGAGTTGGCTCCAGATGACGCATCGGTGCCTGAGCCGGTGGTGGAGAAGAAGCGGAAGGGCTATGTTCCGCGTGGGCTGTATATCCGGAGAGACATGGAGCTGCAGCAGTTCGGGTATACGGCAGGATGTGATGGCTGTGAAGCCGCGAGAGAAGGGTTGGCGCATCGCCAACACACCAAGGCATGCAAGAAGAGGATTGCCGAGGAGCTTGAGAGAAGTGATGAAGGCAAGAAGCGGGTTCAGCAGATGCGAGAAAGGGAGGAACGCTATATTGTGGCGTTCCAAGAAAGAGCTGAACGTGAGGAGCAGAAGAAGAGGAGGTCAGAAGCGGAAGAGGAGGATCGTCGGAAGCGGTCTTCCAAGGTTGAGGGTGTAGCTGAGGAAGACATCGAGATCGACAAGGTCTTGAGGATTGAGCTAGCTGAGGTTCGGCCTGAACGAGGTGAGAAAAGTTCAGGTAGCGCGCAAGCTTCAGCAGCAGCAGCTGGGGGAGATGGAACATCCGCATCAGCCGCAGCAGCTCCCCCGTTTGGGAATCCAGGACGAGGAGGAGCGGAGGTGGTTGACACGGCGGTTGAGGAGGCCGAAGGCGACAGGAGCAGTGGACCGATGCAAGTTGGTGCACTGGAGAGGAGAAGCTACGCAGCTCTGGCCCGGGATATCAGCCTGACCGAGACGGCTGAGCTGATGTTGGATAAAGAGGTGGAAGCAAGGAAGTTTTTGTTGCAGATTGGAGGAGTTTCAGTTCAACAGGCATATTCGCTTACAGAGCCTGTGCTGGTTGAGCTGTATTCGCTCCCAAGGCTGACAGAATTCGCGAGACGCAGTGGTTGGGGTGATGGTTTAGCATTAGACCTGACGACCTGCGATGAGAACGGAGAAGAGTGGGACTTCACCAAGGAGTCGTGCAGGAAACGAGCCAAGCAACGCATTGAGGTTTTGAGCCCGGATTTACTTTAGGGTTGTCCGCCGTGTCGTATGTACTCGCCGCTGCAGTATTTCAATCAGCAGAAGGGCGATTTTGAGCAGAAGCAACAAGACTTGAAAGATGCTGAATCGCACTTGCAGTATTGCGCAGAGCAGTATGAAGCTCAAATTGATCGAGGAAAGTTCTTCGTGCATGAACACCCTGCGTACGCCACTTCCTGGAGTACTGAAGCAATGAAACGTGTGGCAGCCAGAAAGGAAGTATTTTCAGTGATTGGCGACATGTGTGAGCAGGGCATGAAGATCTGCGATGAACATGGCGAGGGCATGGTGCGCGAAACAACTGGGTATTTAACGAACAGTGTTTGTATTGCCCAGGAACTGAGCAAGAGATGCAGCAATGATCCTGACGCTTTGCGTATTCACAGACAGAGCAGCAAGGCGGCGAAGTGTGGACAGTTCCCAGGTGCAAATGGTGCTGAGTGGGATCGTGTGAGAAGGCGCGTGACTTTGGGTTTGACAAATGGAGTGATTTTGCAAGATCTTAAAGATGTGCGCAATGCAGCAACAGCAGATTTGCAGTTTGAGATTCCTAAGCAGTGCCGGGAGATTGAGACCGTGTTCTATTACCTGGGAAGCAGTGGCACCGGCATATACCTCTGTTGGGCGGGAAAGCCAAGCAATGTGAAGTTTATCCCAACAAGTTGCTTAGGAGCATCATGAAGGGCTTGAAGAAGCAGTTGCAGAAATTGCGACCCGTGAATTCTTTGGAGTGTGGGCCAACCAATGAAGAAGTGGATCTTTCTTTGGCCCCAGATGATTTGCAGTTGGTGGAGGGTGACTGGACAACATTCGCAGATGAGGTTTCAGGCAAGGCGCTGTCACGAGAAGGCGTATTTTCTGCTCGGGCGGAGGAGATTGAGTTTGCAAGCCGCTACAACGTCTGGGACCTGGCCCCGGTCGAGGAGGCCTATGCAGCATGTCCATCGGGCCCGATCAAGACCCGATGGATCGACTTGAACAAGGGAGATGTGGAACACCCTGTATACCGTAGCAGGCTTGTGGTGCAGGAGATTCGCAATTCAAGCGTTGAGGCGATTTTTGCTGCGACGCCACCGCTTGAGTCGGTGCGCATGTTACTGAGCACGCAGCGCAGTGGCTGGGAGACTGACAAGAAGGGCAGGCGGCGTAAGGTGATGTTCATTGACATCCGCAGGGCGCATTGGTGTGCACGCATTTACAGGCGGCTGTACGTTTGGTTGCCGGAAGAGGCTGGAGCACCACCTGGAACTTGCGGAAGGTTGAACAAAGCAATGTATGGGTGCAGAGACGCTGCAGCTTGCTGGGAGATTGAGATCACGGATTTCTTTACCAGCAATGGCTTCACGCCCGGTCTTGGGAGTCCTGTGCGGTTTGTGAATCAATCCCGGGATATTAAGGTCTCAATTCACGGGGACGACATCACGTCTTTGGGTTTGAGGAGCAGCTGGAGTGGCTTCACGCAAGATTGCTTGAGCGGTACGGGCTGAAATTTGGCGGAACGTTGGGACCAGATGAAACGGATGTGCAAAATGTAATGTTATTGAATCGCTTGATTCATTACGGGCGAGATGCAACAACAATTGAGGCAGATGGCAGACATGTGCAAATTTTGGTGAATAAGTTGAAACTTGAGAGTGCAAAGGTTGTGCAGACGCCAGGTGTCAGCAGCAGCTTGAAAGATGATGATGTGCCCTTGGAAGGGCTGGAGGTGCAGCGGTACCGGTCTATGGCCATGAGGTGCAAGTATTTGGCATTGGACAGGCCGGACATCAACTTTGCTGCGAAAGAACTGGCGCGCGGAATGCAGTGTCCGAAGCAGAGCCATTTCCAGGGCTTGAAGCGGTTGTGCAGATATTTGGCTGGGCATCCACGACTGGTGTGGATTTACCGAAATCAGGAATTGCCGGATAAGCTGGTCATGTTTTCAGACAGTGATGACGCTGGATGCACAGCAACAAGGAAGTCGACATCGTGTGGGTGCATGATGCACGGTGATCACTTGATTAAATTCTACAGCAGCACCCAGCATGTGATAGCCTTATCTTCAGGTGAGAGTGAGTTTTACGCAGGGAGCAAGGCTGGTAGCACTTTGCTGGGCGGTGTGTTAACAATGCTGGATTTGGGAATTAGCCTGAATGTAGAGCTTCGATTTGATGCCACAGCGCCAAAGGCAATGCTGAGCCGGCGTGGTTTTGGAAAGGCAAAGCACATTTCAAGGTGCTACTTGTGGTTGCAGCAGAGGATTGCAGATGGTGAAATCACCTTGAGCAAAGTCGGGACGGCTCGGAATCCTGCAGACTTGGGAACGAAACATTTGGACCGGCAGAAGATTGAGAACCTGCTGGAGTTGATGAACTTGAAGTTCGAGGCTGGTCGCCATGAAATGGCTGGTCACCATGAAATGGCGCTCCAAGCTTAGATGTGGGTGATTTGACTGTGACAAGCACAGCAAATCAAGGAGGCCTGTGAAGAGTTGGCCGATTGCACACTAGCATGAATGCATAGCCGTGGAAAACAGGTCAAGCGGCCCTTCATACGGTTTCGCAGACGCACACTCGATAAAATAGTATGTCCAACATGTCTTCACTCACGCACCAGCGGTGGGATTTCCAACGATTGCCGATTAGCTTTCGGCTGGAATCAACTAATCAGACCACAGAACCGAAGGCAACCAACCCGAGCATCCACACGCCAGACCAGATGTCCACTTCGCCAAAATCCGACGGTGTTGGTTTCCGCTGGTAGCCGTTGGCTTCCGCGCAGGTCGCTGGTCCAGCCCCAACTTCTGGAGGCCCGGAGACAAATCAAACGAGGGGCACCTTTGGATCTAAATGATTGTGATTCAGGAGTGGTGTAAACGTGTTGTGTTGACCAAAGGGATTTGTTTCAGGACGGTGTTATGATTGTGCCGCTTTGAAAAGAGGATCCCAACAATTCTAACCATGTTGTCTTCAACGGATGGCTGGCCCAATCATAGGTCACGAGCCCTGAGTTTGATCATCGCCCTGGTGAGGGCAAAAATTGTAGCTTTTGGCCATGGTTGTGGGAACTGGCTGTTTGGCCATTGTGTTTGATGACCAAGGGAGCCGTCTTGTATTCAAGGGGGTGGGATCCCCACTTTGGTGTCACAGAAAGGGTTACTTTCCACAACCATAGCACGACTAGTAATTTAAGTGAAGAAAGAGGGACAAAGCGGCTGGTTGCCTACTCAGTCATGGTAGGTTCGTTGCACGGTATGGATGGTCCACTTGAACTCCGGTGCTTGTCGCAGATTGTGTAGGCCCTTTGACTCCATTGGTCCTGAGTGTTCTCCCGGCACGAGAAATCAAATGAGATAGTTGGCTGCTTGACTTGGGTCGGCCAACGTTCTTGTTGATATACGCGTGTCATCTGCTTCAGTGAAGGCAAGATGCTGACAAGACGGCAATACTGTATCCCAGGGTGATGGGATCAACACAGCGCCAGTCAGGTTTCCACACTGCCCTGGAAACCCCAACGTTTTGCGTGTTTCCAAGTTGTGGATGACTCGTGCAGACACCCAGACTTCATTGCCTCTTACAAGTTTCCCTCATGCTCATGTTTTTGACAGGCGAAGAGACCAGTTGCAGGAAAATCTACAGGACAACCAGCACGATCCCCTCGGATCCAGTCGCAGAGGTCCCTTGGGTTCCTGAGACAGTCCGAGTCCAGATGGGTCTTTTGACGGCAATGGTCCATTTCGCAAGAAGTAAGCCCTACAATGTACAGCTAGCGGAGAGCATTTGGAAACTTGCTTAGTACATGTGACTAGGGCCTTCTACCCCCAACCAAAGGTCCTTTGCGGACTGTCCACCCCTGTGGTACGTAGCATGTCAATGTGTGCCGGAGCCAACCATGACAAATGCGAAATGCCCAGACTTGTTTGCTGCTTTGGTCATCACACCAGTTGTGAGTGCAATCAACTGCGGCAGAAGGCCCCACAACGTTGGCAAACCGGCCGCAAGTATAGCACAAACTGCCAACAGGCAATCGTAAACGCCCACGTAGGCGTAGCACAAACGCAAACCCACTCCCAAGACTCGACATGCGAAAAACACGCGCATGATGCGCCAAGCTGAAACTCCTAAAGATAAGAATAAAGTCCGAAGAGCCAGATTGGGTCACTGAACATGTAGTGTTGTCATCACCATTGTCGCCCCCGCAATCGTTGTTCTTGTCACCACCATCATTTGTTGTGTCTCATCATTCGTCTTCAGCAGCAGCAGCAGCAGCAGCAGCAGCAGCAGCAGCAGCAGCAGCAGCAGCAGCAGCAGCAGCAGCAGCAGCAGCAGCAGCAGCAGCACAACAGCTCACATGGTTGAATCCATCCTGGACAACCCGGGGCATTAATGTTTCTGGGAAAGCTTTGTTAGGGCACGGGGCACAACCGCTCCCTGCTGGAGCGCTGCGTGCTGGCCTCCGGCAGGCGGGAATTGACTCTTCGGCGGCTTGCAGATGCTCAAACCCCTCCCACGTCGTTTGCTTTGGATTGTTTGGAAAGACAAGGAGTGTTGTTTATGTTTTTTCGTTTTTTTTTCTTTTTCTTTTTTTTTCCTTTTTTTTTTGGCAAATAATATATATATATATGTCACTTTGGTACCAATCCACTGAGCAGGACGTCAGCAACGGGCGGGCAATACCGTGGATGGGCAAAATTCACCACATGGGGACACAATACATCTTGACCGGTGCTCAGATGTGGCTCAGGTTTGAGGATGGCCTATGTTTTAGCCGTAACCATGTAGGTATGTGTTTGACATCGGAATCTTGTTCAGGACATGAGAAATGCATATCTATGGGTCTTGCGTCCACCAGCCATTTGTGAGGGTGTTCCAAATCAAAGTTTGCATGGGAATTTTCTCTGGTGTTATTTGCTTTAGGATTCCGTTTTGATTTTCAGGATGGTGTCAAACCCAATTCGACCTCTTTCGGAAGCGGCTGCTTCCCGCAAGCTGGGCAATAGGTTTCACCAGGAAAACAAAGCCCAGTACCAAGGGAGAGGGCTCTTTCTTCGCATGATTCGATTGCAGGCTTGCACATTTGTCTACCAAATTGTAGCAGGTGATTTGGAGGAGCCGGGTTACTAGCTATTCCTGCTGTACCTTCTCCATTTCCTTCAGGGATCCTTCTCTTCAGGAACAAAAAAGCAAGCCAACCAGATGATATGATGCTAACGTGAATGATATTAGGATAAAGCCAGTATCAACAAGCATGTTGACAATGATACTGTACGAAGCAAAAGACATTGTGTAAGACATAAGTACGAAAGACAAATCATTCACATCGAATAGAAATAGACACTCATACGTAGATGGTTGAAACAAACTACGTGTTAGACTTGTTTAATGTTTGAGTAAGAGAGATAGATGGTTATCGCCCTTACTCACTCACTCACTCCAACACTTTTGGGACAATAAGTGGCTCAAGAGAAGAATGGGTGAACGGGAATCAAGCCTTAGTGCTTGACTCGAACTCATTTTGGCGCCAAAGGGGGCTAGAAGTGTCAAACAGTTGCAGTCGTCGGCGGTTTCGCATTCCAACTCCAGGGGAGAGTGCGGGGTTTCGGCGGCGTGAGGGTACATCAGCTACGAGAGCAGTATCGTATGCAGTGCCCTCAGATTTTGGATGCCGCTGCGAACGTTTGGCCGCGCAATACAGCTGGAAGCTTCCTGCAGGGCTCTCCTAGGCTCTGAAATAAAATCAGGCCTCTAGATTCAATTTCAGGAAACATTTGACCGTCGGAGCTGTGAAATCTTTCACGCGCCACTGCACCTTCTTGCCCTGTGGTAAACGGGTCAAGGCAGTTTGAACTGAGGAGCGAGCTCAAAGATGGCTGATGGACATAAATCCGCATGTAGATGATGTTCACCAAAGGGTCCCCAGTTAAAATTCCTCCGTACGAGGCATCCCTCCATTGCAAGCGTGGTCAGCGGGCTCTTCTACGCGGGTCGGCTTCTGACTCCACTGAGTGTCGCGCAGGCGTGGTAGAGCGGGACCGGATTTGGAAAGGCCTTACTATGCATGGACGAAAATCCTGCACCAGATAGGAAAACATGGGAGACCATTGTTTCTTGGTATTTACAGGGGAATCATCATTCCAGGATTTCTTAGGTGGTGCAGGATTTCTTCCATCCACTGTATGACGGACATGCTAAGCAGCGCCTGGTGATGTGGGGGTGACTCCGCCCAGAGCCTGACTCTTGGCATGAGTTTCAACCCAGGCTTCACAGTCGTAATGACCATAGCTTGCAGGGAGGGACTTTCCCGTAAGTCTGCCGTGCCTCACTTCGATAGGTCGGCAGATTCATATTTTGCAGGGAGTGACGTTGCCAAGTGCTGGGCTTTTGTTTTGATTGCATTTCTTGAAGGCACAGAATTTGATTTGGGAATCTGTTAGCCGAGTTTGGTGGTGGAGGTGTCACGTTTTGATTGTGTTTGATTGCGCATGTGTCTTAAACACTGTAACAAATGCAAGTGCTCCGTCAAGACGCCCATTGTTTGCTCCAAGACCGTAAAAGATGACATCAATCCCTCCATATAGCATAGGTTTCCTTTGCCTGCACCATCAGAAGTCGTTTGCCTATTTTCCTTACATTCCTTTTTCCCCTCCCTGCCCGGGATGGTCCGAGCACGCTTTCGGGATTGACACCATCCGCCGCTAGGAGCGCAAGGCGCAAGAGCCGCGGCCGCTGGTTTGGATGGATGTACAAGGCACGGCTGACCGGGCCTGTTGCCCAGCCCAGTCTTCCTTTTTCTGGGCTGTTGAAAGGCAATCCGGAAACCCGGAATCCTTGGCTGGCTTGCCTTTAGGGATTGTGGATTTGGATTGGCCAACCCTGGATTTTGAACAGCCCAGTTTCTATTTATTGTTGTTCTTCTCTTTTTTTAGGGGGGTTTCCCTTGGAAACCAGCCAAGAAGCGCGTTCCCCTAGCCACAGGGCTTCTGCTGTCCGCTGAACCTTGAAAGTCGACCCCAAAGAAAGCCGCTGTGTCGAAGGATTCAGAAAAATCCCCGTGGCAAACGAGAAATGCGGCTGAAATGCGCAGATTGCGCCGATACGGATTGCGGCCATGCGTGGTTTTTTTTGATCATGTCCAGGCAAAACATGAATCATTTTGTCTGCTGGCCATCGCCAGCCAAGCGCTCAAGTGAGCAGCCATTGAGTAAAGGCTTCAGTCCGCATGCCCGGCAGGGCGTGACGAGGCGCCAAACAAGTCCTACGTCAACTTCTCTGAGGCGCGGATACTCCGGCTGGGCTCGCAGGGCTGTGGCTGTCGCACATGTGTCTTTGAATTGCTGCTGTAAGCAGGGCAACAGCAATCAGCTAGCTTACCAACAATCACTCAGAAGCCTGGCCGCTTGTTAGCGTCGCGTGGTGCATCAAGTCTTGGCACAAATCAACACAACAGACTTGGGAAGATTTCGGGAAAGCTGTAAGAGTGTGTGGGAACACGAGGGGAAAACTACGGAAACGCAATCAGCAGGTCTTCCGCGTTCTGCTGCACAACAGCTGAAGCCCGAGAACTCAAATCTACAAGGATGCACAACATATATGCATGTTGAATCATTCGAAAGGCAGCAGCTTTTGCAATTTTTTGTAGCACCCGCATCCTTGCGAGCTGCCACCTCCGAGTCGGCGCTGAGAGTGTAATGTTGAGACGGTACAGCTCAGCTCAACCAGCAGGGTGTGTCCCAAAATAGGGGAACCCGCACAATGATTGGCTTTTTGTTTGTTTGCCTTGAAACCAGCCCACAAAGTGCCACCCAACATTGAACGACAACCCCAGGCTAAGTAAGGTGTTTTGACTTCTCCTTCGAATGATTTACCACATTTTCTTTGGAGCGCTCATAGCCTGATGTGATCTAGTCTTTGTGGAATGTTTGGTTGCCATGTCACAATGTTTGAGCTCGCTAAATTGATCATGGGCGTCGTCCAAGCCTTATGTATGTGTGAATACGTGATGTATTGTCTTTGGCATCCGCCGTTCAGAATTTGAATAGCTCCGTTACTTTCATCAAACCTAGTTGTGCTGAGCTCCACAGCCCGCTTGTGCCCCGATAGGTCAGTGCCTGTGTGAGGGTTGTGGCTCGCATCCGTGAGCGGGTTGGGCCGCGCCCTGAGACAGCGTGTCGGACCACACGTTGCAGCAGAATGCATCGGATGCATGGGTTCTGGTTTTTGTTCGTTTTCAGAGCACAAGACAGCAGACAATTGAACTGAGCTTGGCTTGGTGGGGTACGGGGACAAGAAAACCGACTGCGAGTCAGCCTTGATGATAGAGTTGCCAGTGAAGCCAGCACAGCAAAACCTCTACATCCCGCTGTTTGTTGATCCCCAAATAACCTTCCAGCAAGCCCTTGGGCAAATACCAACAGCTTGCCAGCTGCTCAATTGATTAGAGTATCGAGGAAAGCTCGATGTGTGCAAGAATCTTCGCCTTGAAGGCTCTGCCTCACTCTTTATGTTGCTCAACCGTGCAGCTCTTTGAGGGCTGCATCGTATCCGCAACGTCGGCTACCTCTGGAATCAGGCCATTCCCAGTTTGGATAGCTGGAATAAGACGGCAGATTCTACCCATCCTACCAACGTTTTGCTTTCGTCCTTTCACCTGTCACCCGGGTTTGGAGGCCCGGGCCTTCGGTGGCCTTGCTGACCTTCTACAAGGGCCAGCTGGAGGAGCTCATGAAGGCATCGAGACGGCATCGGTTTTTATAGGGCAGACGAATCTTCCGTGAGAAGTGAGCAAGAAGTCACAAGATGTGAAGGCAACACGGCGGTCTTCAGAAACTTCAGAGACATTGGCAATGGTGCTAGTGCGGCCCACGCCGGTGTGTATGGTACACTGCTGTGCCGATTCGTCACGAGTAACACGAACACATAATCTCGATGTATGCCCGGCATGGTGTTTAGGCAATTCATGAACACTAAAGTGTTTCACTTCTGACGGCTCTTCCAGTCAAAGTATCGCCACATATCTTGTCATACTTCGGCAACCGATTGCTTTGCACCCACACCTCCAAGCCAAACCAATTTGAGATTAAGGGTCTCGCATCGCTGAGTCGCTGAGCCCCCCAAAACAGTTGTGCGGTTTCCCTGAGCGTTCCCTAACTTTGGGCAGAAACTCCTGAAATTTCCCGATTTTTCGTCGAAGGTCGAAACCAAGCAGAAGTTGTCCCGTTTGAGCCGGGATAGCCAGGCACTGCCCTCCAACTTGGACGCCGAGGCCTGGGTGTGCCTCTGGTGTTTGATATCAGTTTTGGGGATTGATTTGGTTGGGTCCGTGCTGGTTCGCTTTCCTTGGGAAATGTGTCAAAAGGAAAACATTGGGAGGCCAAAAAAGGAGACCTTGGGGGGTTCAACCCAATTTGAGGCAGAAAGCAAGTTTTGAGGGGTTGCTTTGAAGCGCCAATAAGCTTGAGTAGAGGAGAATTGGCCAAGCAGTGAACAAGGGTCCTTGCGAACTTTAGGTTGTTGCTGATTCTTGAATCACTTCAATGGAGCCAAAGCTTCAACATTGCCGCAATTCGAGGCACTGTGTCACTCCGCGGTCAGGTGTCATTTGTCCCCGCAGCCGTCAGCTTTCTTGGGCCGTCCGGGTGTCATGGAGGAGCTTAGGCGAAAGCCCAGATGTGATGCCAAGGCGGAGTTCGTGGTCATCGGCTGCGGGCTGCAAGGGCGCGGCATGGGCTGGTTCCATGCCCTGCACCCTGGCTCGGAAGGAAGCTCGGGGAGTAGATAGCTGATAGGGTACCCAGGTTCACAAGAAACCCGGGAACACATGAGGTGGACAAAGGTGAAGCTTGTGCCGATGGCACCTTTGACAGCGTTCACGGTGTCATTGTCTCCAATGTGGTTTCCTTTCAGGACTTGGGAGATGGTCCATCGGGCACCGCATCATTTGTGAGTCAAAAAGATGTGGGCCGAGAGCCATGTCTCAAAAGTTGGTGACGCCCATCGGTCTGCCTGGATGTTTGGATCACGCGTTTTCCGAGCGCCCGCGGAAAATTCCTCGCAAAGTCTACAAGGACTTCATCAGGACTCCATCCAGCAGCGGTGGTTCCTTTAGCCGGGTTCTCTTACAGGATGCATGTTTGACAGTTGGAGATTCACTTTGCCCAGATCTACGAAAGCTCACTTGGACGAGGGTTTTTGGACATATCCCTTAGGCCCTGTTCGGGCATGGGCACAGGCAGCTGCACTTGGGCGAGTGCGCCAGCGCCAGCTTGCGCGGGGTGGTGGAGCCCTGGTTCTTGAAAGACGGGGAGGTGTCGGAGCCCTTCCAGGCAGAATCCGGTCGCTGGCAAAGGGGGAACCGAATACCCGCTTGAGCTGTGTCACCCAGGAATTGAAGGTTCAGGGAGAATGCCAACCATGAATTGCCGTCGCAGCCTTTTTGATTCTTGAAGCATGTTTCGTAGACACTTTTATACCAGGTGTTGGTCGTGACCTAACTGGGTGTTTCCTTTGGGATTCCAAACAAAAGGGTACCCTCGATGAAACACACACCGAAACGCCTATGATTTTCAGTTGTTGGAACACCCTCGCAAGTGCTTGCTGGACAATCAACCCCCACCATATTCTGATGCAAAACTTCACCCGGTCATTTGAGTGGATTGGCGCATCTGCCCCCTTTTTGGGCTTAAGGCGGCAATTTGAATCGAGGCGGTGACGGAGCAGCTGGCGGGGGTCCGTTTCCAAGAGACCTGCGAAGGCCTCTTTGACGCTCGGCTTAATCCGGTGGATGCGGATGGGTTGAGACAGTTAGATCCAGTGCTGTCCTTTCTTCCTTTTTGTTGAGAGGATTCCCTTAAAAATCAAGCACAAAACGGGGGGGCAATTTTATGTCCATGGCTACTTCCCAGACTGGTGGCTCACCCAAATGGTTGAATCTGATTACAGTGTCGCACCTTCCAAGGCGTTCCGAAACATTGTCTGACCATGCTGCGCAGCCATGTGGATCATCGAAGACAAGGTCCTTGATTCAGATGCTGCGACGGGTTCTCTCTCGTTTTCTTTGCATGGGACGGGACGGGGCGGGGCGGGACGGGACGGGACGGGATGGGATGGGATGGGTGGGATTTGATGGATGGATGCATGGGATGGAGGAGCCACAAAGTCGATCATCGGCAAGTACGTGGCTTTCATGATGGACCTTTCTCTCAGTCACACAGTTACACAGTTTCAGTTTGCCAAATTGTGAGTCACAGGTGTAGTCTTCTGTATAAAGACCGGTTGATGATGTAAGTATTTGTTCTGTGGAACTTGCCAAAAGTCGCTTTGTTGGATTCGCTGCTGCCTTGTCTTGTTCTATTAGATACCTGTGCAGACCTTCTCTTTCGTCTTTTCTAAGTTTCGTGACGTTTGACCTTAAGAAGGCGTGTGCCCAGGTCTTTTCCTACCATTCTGTAATTTGTGAATATTACCTTGCCCAACTTTCTCGCAGGTGCTGCGCGGAGTCTCGTTTGACATCTTCAGATCCCCCCCCCCCCCCACACCTGCGTGCCTGATTGGCAGCTTCGCTCCTTGTTGCACTCTTTTCGCGTCCGCACCTGAATGATGCAAGCCCTTCCTTTTTTTTAGGACACATTAGGGGCGCAAGCCGCTTTGCGACACATTAGGGGGACCACCTTACGGTCTCCTACCTTTCGTGTCTCCCCTCTCACCAGTTGTATAGAGAGTAAGACACATCCCCGGCGTCACCCAGACTTTCTCGGCACCCAGGCCGGGCCTCGCTCCGTGGCGCTCATAGCGGGGCGCACGGCCTGCAACCCTCAGCTCTTCCGGGAGGCGGGATCACTGGATTCATGTGCCTTATGGTGCCTTTCTTGAATCGCTGGTTGACTTGTTGAAGTTCATGGCCATATGTTGCCCTAAAAGTGTAGAGTAGATGTCCGATTGACCGTCGAACAACTTGCTACGAAGTTCAATTCCGTGGAAGGCTACACATGTGTTTGGTTAACTTCCCCACATAGTCGTAGTTTAACTTTGGCACTTTGTCGTCACCTTCTTTTTGGACAAACAAGACTTTACCCACCGATTAACATGGAACCTGAGAGGGGAGGGCGGGTCCTGGAAGATCATGTTCCTGTTAACGGGCCCCCCTGTCACCTGTCAGGTTCCATGTGAATCGGAGGGTAGATGAAGCGGCCTTCCTGTCTAGGCAGTGGCCCAGGGCGCCAGCCACGTGCTGCTGGAAAAGCCTGGGGCGGAGACTGCGGAGGTGATTCGAACGCGGGCTGAAACATCGGGTGGTTTGAGGCCCTGGTTCCGGAAAATGTTTAGAGTCCCCCTCTTGGTGGTTTTAAGCATGTCTTAAGCATCACCCTTTTGGGCCCAAAGGTGAGTTTCCCTTGGTAGGGGTCGTATGGGGAGCACTGTTTGGGGCGTTGGCTGCCCTATCTCAACAATTCCAGCCTATGGTTCAATATCAGCCACAAAACAGCAGAAGCCTTGCGAACATCTTCAGGGCTGTGTCTCAAAATTGGTAACCTCCCCTTTGCTTGGAGGGCAGTTTGGGAATCAACTATTCTGCTGCAGATGAACCTGTGTTGCCCCAAACAGGGCTCCCCCAAAAGGAGTTTCCTCTACAAAGGAGGATAATGTTAATCTGCAGGGGTGTGTCCAACATGTGCACTTGCTTGGATTGGTTTGAAAGGGAAAAGAAAGCGCAGCCAGCTATCTTGGCATTTCCCTTCTAGAAACAAACCCAAAATGGAAGTGTTTCAAGCAAAAACGGTGGTCCCTGAGGCTTCTTTTTACAAAAGTAAAAGGGGTGCCCTCAACGCCAACACAAACGCACCACATTCCAGTGATTGATCAGGAGTCCCCAGGCCCCGGGATTTTCTGCAGGTTGAAGCCGGTTTAATCCATTGGTGCAGGAGCTGCAGAGCATGGCGCAGAAGGCTCAAGCGGCGCAGGCCCGGGGTTTTCGATGCCAATTTGTTGATACCTCGCCTCGGGTTATAGGAATCGTTCGCTTTAACATGGTACCCGTCAGAGGGTCCATTTTATAGGAATATGGTGTTCCAGGACCGGAGGGTATCCTCCTAGCTGGATGGTGATCAGGTTCAAAAACGACAGTCATCCAGTTACCACCAAACCAAGGCGGCACCGGAGGTTCGGTCGATAGGCATCTACCTTTCCAAAAAGGATCCTCACCTGAATGAGATGCGGTCAACATGTGCAGTTTTCTTTGGTCAACTTAGGAGGGACGTTGGACCAGATTCGCAAAAAACACGCGGGGGTTGTCCTATGTCCTTTGCAGGATCGTCATATTCCTCTGAAATGAGGATCATGCCTCCCCGAAAGGTGTACAGCTTCATTGGGCAATCCCAACCCAAACCTCGCAACGAAGTTCTGCCAGACGGCGTTGAAGCTCCCAGGTGCCGGTGTACATGGGCTTCATCAAAAGTCTCAGCGCCTACGTTACGCAGGCCTTGCCCGTCATCACGGCTCATCCAAGAGCTTTGGTGACGCTGATCTCCCGCAACAGCCACTCTGCAATCGGGGCAAGCAATTTGCCCTACCTGGGAAATACAAAGACCCGGTCCCTCAGTTGAGCTGCACTTTCAGGGACGGTGGCTCCAAGCAATGGAGCCGAGCTGTGAATCCTGGATTGCTTTGCTCGGGATCTTCCGATTTGCGGGGGTATGCGGGGAGCGAAGGAGGCGGGGGGGGGAATGGGGGGGTGGGGAGGGGAGGACTGTGAGCTTTCTATCTGACAATGGTAGATGTGTTGCGCCTAGCAACCTTCAATAATGTTGAACCAGGATTAGTAAACCCGTCCCACTATTAGGGGGGGTGTTCCCTCCAAAAGTGATGAATCCCCACTAAAAGGGGACACCCCCTATTAATCAACCAGGGGTTTATTCATCCGGGGTTAACATTAGATAAGACCTGCAAAATCGATACCAGCTTGATGGATCGATGTAAAGCGAGTGGCAATCAGTTGGTACATGGAAGCCGTGGCAAGCGGCCACCCATGTCCGGCGACATCTCTGAGTGTGTGACTGAACTGATTGGTTTGGCATGCCTTCCGAAGCCTTTGACCCGCCCTCCCCGAGGCTATCAGCGAGATGACCTGGAAGAGGTTTTCGCGCGTTGCGCGGAGGGCCTGCTGAAGAACATGGCGCCCCGGGCTTTGCGCCCATGCTTTGCGGCTCAAGGAATAGAAACCAATCAGTTGTATAAGGAACCTCCCTGTCGCCTGGGACTGCGATGGAT